TATGTACATATGTCAGTTGGATTCCATAATTTGAAGAAATAAAACTACTTATATACTTGCATACATATGTATGTATTAGCTCATACGTATGTATGTATGTATTTATTTTTCAAAGTACTTAATATTTTATTTTTTTGACATTGATTTTGCTATGATTTATCCAATTAACGTAGTCTTATTGAATAGTGTTTTCTTTTCTACCGAAAAATATTGCCTTCTGATAGCCCTCTTCGCACGAATCCTAAGGAGAGGGCAATGAAAAGGCAACATTTTTTATAAAAAACACAACGCCATAAAATTCGGACATCAAATACTGGTTTAATTGAACTCCTCAATGAGTGGCTCTAGCGTTAAGAAGTTTGTATAGATAACGGAAATGTTCGGTTTCTGATGCCGAATTATATTTTAAATAACGAAAAAATTTAGTAAAAAACAACAGTCAGACTTTTTTGTGCATACATATGTATGTTTACTTGTGTACATACCCTGCAAAAAATTGTGCGACGAATGTCTAAAGAGAGTATTCCGAGATTACTCTCAATCGGGTACAATTGGGCATTAATTAGTCGCAACTAGTCTCATACGGGTACTAATGGAGGTCAATTAGGCTCGACTGATCCCTTATGGGGATAATTGGAGATCAATTAGTACCCAACTCATCTCTAACGGGAACTATTAACGATTTAATGATATGTACGCACCTTGTCAACGAAATTTCATGTGCGGCGTTGACTCACAGAGACAGTATTCGCCTAACAAAACTGAACCGGTTCGAATCTCAGCTGGCGCAAATTTTTATTTTTTAAAAGTGACTAGTCGTTTTTATACCCGTTCGGGTATAAAAGTGAACAATTAGTCTCTTCATAGGACATGCTCGATCAAAAGCGAACAGTTCATTCCATGTAAAGAGATCAAAAGTGGTATTAATCGCATGCTCCTTAGCGATTGCTCCCGGAGTCATCCCGGATTGTCCCATTTTTAGCAGGGTATCTTTTTTGATCACACGCATTCATACATACATACATGTATAAACGATTTTAACGATGAGTTCAAAGCTAATATTTTTCACTTTTTTACTTTGTCGCTGTTGCTGAATCAGAACATTGTATCTCGTGTCAGTTACCTGAGGTACTTTTCTAACTACCATACATAATACGCATACACACAGTGCATGGTGATATATGTATGCATGTTCGCATCTACATACATATGAACATACATCTGTAGGTATGCATAAAACACCATAGAGCAGGCTTTCCTAAAGTGGGTGACGCGGCACCCTTGGTTGCCGAGAGGGTATGGCTGGGGTGCCGCTATGGCTAGAGTATATTAGAGTTGCGGGCAAATTCTTTAAACTTTCCATACACAACGCAAGCGGTTTGATCAAACTTCAACATGGCGGTTAGAAAATCAAAAAATTTAGATTTTTATTGAAATTACCTTCAGCGGCTCGTCAAACCCCATACACAACGCAAATGGCTTGCAGCAAAGGGATATTTCGCTTGGTTTCTTAAGCCGCTTGTGTGGTGTGTTTCGCTCTTCAGGGTAGTTCCCCAGTATGTTTTGTCAACGGAAAATTTTATCAGAAACTTTTCAGAAAAATAGCCGAAAACGTACCTTTAGCCTTTTCACAACCACTTTCGGTACTTATGTAGACCTAATCCGCGTTTCATCCACTTTTCTTCCCGTTGGGCTGTTCTCGTAAATTAAAAAAAAAATTCCATCGATAACTTAAATTTGTGACACACAATGGCTAGAGGCGTCGCCTGAGTGTATTCTTTCATATATTTATGTATGTGCTAGTTTTACCGTTATATATTTTTTATCTACTCGTTTATTCCATGGGGTATTCATGCTTTATTTAAATTTAAAAAATTAAATTACTATACCGTTTTAAAAATTTTAAAATTCAATGCGAGAAATTTTTTTATTCTCTTTTTGTCTTCGCCTTCTCGTTTTTGCCCTTATAAGTTTTGAAAAAAGGTTTTGAACGAACCATTATATCACATTCCTAGGCAAGTTTTGAAAGAATATTTTCGATACTAAATTTTATTAAAACAAAATATTGAAATCAGCTTCATATAGAAACAGTGTCATCGTTAATGAAGAAAGAGAAAGTTTGTTGATTTTGTTAATGTTGCGCAAAAATTAAACCTTGGATTTATACGGGGAGCTATACCGCAATTCTCCCCCTGGCTACGCCACTGCGTCGGTACTCCCTGGCGACTAGGAAGGTCCTGCCGCTAGATTTAAAACCCGTATTGGATGACGCTGCGCAGATAACAGAGGCCTGCGAAATTAAAATACGTCTTTGGTTTTTTTAGCACGTCGAGCTATTTTTTATTGGTGACCTCATAAATAAGCAAAGTAAATCATAAAAACGTATGTAACTTCGAAGTTAACGCTAAGAAAATTGGTCAAAGTTATTTTCTTTGCGTTATGACATTACCAGCGTTAACTTGGAAGGTTTAGAAAAACCATTCTTGAATATTTTCCCAACATTGACTCTGAGGATGTCTACAGCTGGATAAGAAACTCGTTTTCATGTGACCCGAAAAGCAAACCTACTGGGATGACAAATTAAGCTTTAGAAAATCTTGTGGATATCAGTGAAGACAGCACTTTGAATATTAAATACTATGAAGGGAGCCAAGAGAGTTCTGGATGCAAGTGCATGCAGAAAACACAGCTGTTGGCAAGACTGCATTAAAAATACGAGTGACTTTTACTTTTACATTTCTATGTGAGACTGCATTTTCAACAAATGCTTACACAAACAAGTGATTTTTAAGCAAAGAAAAAACCGACTTCAATTCCCATATAAAAATTTAAGAGTATCGTTAATCTCTTCATGATCCAATGATTTCAGGGTAAAATTGTCAAATCTCGCAATGAACTTAAAGGAAATAATGAAATCGTCAAAAAAATTTCTGTCCTCGCATTAAAGCTAAAGGAGCATAAAGTTTGCATTGTGTTTCTTGTTTTCGTAGACATTAGAAGGGTAGGGGTGCCGCGAAATTTTTTTAGCATAAGGGAGCCAAGGTGAAAAAAGTTTGGGAATACCTGCCATGAGCATCATAAAATCTGTGAGCACCTCTAGTATTCCACTCAGTGTTGCCACTTTGTTCTTTTCCGACAAAATTTGGTCGCTTCTTTTTCATTTGGAAGGTTCGTAAGCAAAGTAAGATTTTGGTCGGATGAATTAAGTTTTTAAATATATATTTCAAATATCATTTTGCACATAAATATTTGCCAGTTGGACCTTAAACATTTTCCAATCCTGCCTTTAAACATAAGAAACCTAATTGGTTTGGCTACTGATGGAGCCAATGTTATGGCTGGAGACTTGGGCGGGCTGAAAACATTATTAAGTGCAGAAACCAATTTATTTTATATAAAGTGCACATGCCACTCACTTCACCTTTGCTCAAGATACGCTTGTAAAAAATTGCTGAAAAGCATTGAGACACTGTGCCGCAACATATGCACATAGTTTCTTTTCCCACAGTCCAAAGAGGATACATAAACTGAAGGAATTTCAGAACTATGTTCGGTAAAACCCCACAAAACTAGAATGCGTTGTGTTAAGAATAGTTGAGCAATGGCATAGTTTGAAACTTTATTTTATTTCCTGCTTTTAAGAAGTAAATGGTATGCGATCTGCAGACCAAACGCCAACCAAATGCTATTTTTTTTATTTATTAACAAAGAGTTCCAAGCTGAAAGCTCTCGTTTGCCATACTTACATAAATGCCGCTATCAAAGCACATTATCTCTTAATTTTGAGTAACTGTTGAGTAATCATATTAAAATATCTGACATGTTTTTTGGAACGAAAACTGAGATGTTTATGAAAAGTAATGTCAATTCTTCTGAAATTCTTGAAGTTAAAAGCAATATATTAAAGTTCTACATAGAGTTTTTAGACCAAATAAATTTAAGATTTGATTCCAAGCGTGAATATATAAAACTTTTACAAATATTAACACCAACTAAGGTAGTTTCTAAAGAAGATTTACCAATTTTACCTCTTTCGTTAAAGTTTCCCCATCTCATTTATTACGATCCTGATATAATAACCACGAAGTGGAATTTACTGAGGCTAAGTGGGCTTAATATTTCCAGCGATCTGGATATTAATGTTTTGGGAAAAAGTTTATTCTATTAAAAAGGGAATGAATGAAAATAGCTTCTTGCATCTCGCCAATTTTGTTTTTAATATAACTTGTGGTAATGAAGCTGCAGAACGCAAATTTTCAACGCTTTCTTTGATAAAAACTAAACTAAGAAATAATCTTAAGATTGACAGAATCAATAAATAAGATTGACAGAATCAATAATGTTATGCAAGGAACTTGTAAACAAAAATGGCCCTGCTAAAGATTTGCACGTGTAATTAATTGATTTAAATTTACTTTAAAAAATTAAACTTTTTGGTACATAACATGTATGTATATAATTCATACAACCAAAAAATATTAAATCATTTCATCTCTGTGCCTAAGACTGTACCTGCATTTTATTTATTTATTTATTTCTTGTGTGTTTTAAAATGTACAAAAGTACATATATGTATGTATGTAAAATGTTCGAAACATTTAATCTTAGATAAATGAATTCTATGCTTTCAGAATGCTTTTTTGTAAATGAAATTTATTTGGTAGGTTGTAAACGTTTTTGGTCAGATTTGGGAAAAAAATTGGTAGGGAAATAAATTGTTGGTGGCAACGCTGATTCCACTCCCACTATCAATAACACTCATTTGTTGGTTATCTCACAGTAACATATTTATTCACCAGCTCCATCCATTTAGCTCACTCATTTACTCAGTTGCTTGCACGCATTTGTTCCTTTGTTTTTTTCCTTATTTATACAATTTTATAGCGGAGCCTGCTTCACACTCTTCACTCTCTGGATTTTCGTTGCTCATTTCGCTCTTTAATTTGCTAGACGTGTTCTCCCTTCGTTTCAGTTACATTTCCCTTTCGCCATACCATAGATACGTTCTGTGTTGTTTTGTGCGTGGAGTGTGAATTGGTAGTGCGGAATATGCGGCTTGTACGGATGGCAAAGGCATTGTTTTCTAGCAAAAAAATGTTTCTGCAGTTTAGAGGAATAGTAACAAATTGACGCTGCGTGGTTAAGTGTGTTGTTTGGCTCGTTCGTATATATGCTCGCGTCATATTGCGCTGTCGTGCGAATATTCACGCGTTCGGTGTGCGCTCGCATAGAATTTGCAATTTTGGGAGAAAATGCCGCATGCTTTTTGCGCCTAATAAATATTTTTTTTTACAAAATCAGGCGCATTATTTTACCTATAACATAACAAAGTATGTGCCGAAGTATAACCCATAGCAATATCTATAATAAATTAACCAAAAAAAACACAAAAGAGTGCGTAAACAGTTCTTTTATACATATGCAAATATGTATGTACATAAAAGAAAAAACATTATAAACATATCTGTAGGTAGTAAAACAATTACATTGCGGCCTAAGCGCACGGCAAAGTCGACTGAAAGTTTCCTTGCAATACATTTAAGGAGTGCGGCGGAAATGTAAATAAAATAACTTGCGCATAACTTATACCAATTTGAATTACTTTTATTTTCTAAATACGTACATAAATGTTAAAGTAAAAAAGTGGGCTTAGAGCTCGATTTAATTGTTGATTAAAACGTCATTAGATCACAATAACAACAAACTGATAGTAAATACAAACCAACGATCAGTAGAAAGAGTACCTATCTCGAGTGTCGTGCCTTGAAAGTCTTTCGCCAATTAGAAAACTAATAGGTCACCGAATGTTCACGCACGCCGGCAATGTACCTACTGTCAAAAATTGCTCATCCACATACAACTTCTATGGGACCAACCTTGACAATTACATATGTACATGTGTATGTATGTATGTATACTTAACTAATATGTAAATAGTAATAATTTGGCGGGATTCTGCAACTAATCAAAAAAATATACATATATATATGTTTCTGAAAATGGATTTAGTTTACATAGGTAGGTGGGATTCTGCAACTAATCAAAAAAAAATTATTTTGAAAATGGGTTCAGTTTACTTTGGTCAGGTTTAATTTAAACTGAAAGTGCTAAATAAAATATCGACGTCTCCGCGTTTTGCCGTACAGTTACTGTAAAACTCGACCAAACAGTTTTAGTTTATTTTGAAGGTTTTGCGGGAAATTACAGCTTCTGTGCTTTTTAGTGCAGTTCTTAGCCCAAAAACACATCTGCAACAATCAGCGGTTAAGGGGGGCGCGTTTTTTTAATTATGACAGTAGCAAATGTGCATATATCTACAAATGCATAAGTAGTTGAAAAATAAAGGACATTAGTTTTAATTGTATTTTTTTGTCTCACAAAAAGCAAAACTCAATTAGAATAATGTAACAAAAAAACTGTCGCAATCAATTCCCATACGCATGCAAAATACAAAACGCCAACTGATATTTTTTGACCTGTGTAAAGTGCTGATTTTGCACCCCATATGCCGTCAAATGAACTACATATGCATGTTATGTACATACATACATACAAATTTAATACCGAAATACATTGTGGATACATAACTCGCGCGTGTGGGTTTGTGTGTACGCCCGCGCGCTTGTGTGTTCGTCGTTACACTTCCATGCAAATTCTACTTTCCAACCCTTCATTGAGTGCAAATGTAAAATTCCCAGGCCAAAATGTTTGCACAGCGAATATTATCCGTTGAAACAAAAAAAAAAACGATGCGAAACGAAAAAATCAGCTACAAATAAAAGTCGTTAGTTATAATCGCGCACTTCAGCTTTCAACCCTTAATAATATACGCGGTCTAAAGGAATATATCTATGTATGTATGCACATATGCAAACACATGTCTGCAAGAACACACACACTCTAAATTCGTACACAATGCATCCATCCATCCTCATATTTACAAAACGCCGTGAAATTGAATAAACTCTGGAGCGAACCAAAAACTCGGATATGGTGATTTAGCAGTGTTTAAATAAAAAGTTGCAGTTTTCTCCAATGAACAACACGCACTCCCTAATCGTTTTAAACTTTTCTGCCAAAATCTAAACAACATAGGTATTGTTTTCAAACGGGAACGCACACTATCATATTTCATAAGTAACGGTAAATGCATATGTGCGTATAAGTAAAGTTTTCGCAGTGTGCTGTCCATGAAGTGTTTAAATAATAATTAAACTTAGAGTGGCCAATCAAAGCCAAGAATATGAAAAACCACGCATGATTTATTAATGAAATTACAAAAATTAATAAAAAGTGAAGTAAAATGTAATGGTTTCAAAAGGCATTCAAATTGAAAAGAAATCTTAAAAGCAGAAAAATTTTACACAATTTAGAGTTTTTTGGTAATTTGAAATGGTGTGCCAATTAATTAGATAACAACACATTTAATACATTTCGCTGAAGTGAGACGCAACTGCGAATTACGCGCGTTGAATACAATCAATTAATGGTGCGGCCTCAACACTGCTCAAACGAGAAAGTGCAAAACAGCCAAGCTTCAACTCCTTTCGAACTTTAGCGACGGAAATTACTTACTTACGTTGTACTCAAAAAATGGACATATGAATTCCGTGTGCGTCTACTTTGGGAAGATACATATGTACCACATACATACATATCTGCGGACATTTGAAAGACCATATTAAGAGTCAGTTTCTCAATGTCTTGTTAACACTAACTGCAGGTTAAACATCGTTACCGACGTTATCGACTCCCTGCTATATGTTATAGAGTCGATCGCTTTGATAACGATGTTTTAAAGCTTAAACAGACGGCAGCGTTGATCCGGACTAACTCGGACTCAATCCGGATCAACTGCAGTTAATTCCCGACTTGATCCGGATCAACGCTGCCGTCTGTTTACGCTTTATCCTGTAGTGCGTGCTAACCAGGCATTGAGAAACTGGTCCTAAGGGCCGGTTGTTCAATGTCTGATTAGCACGCACGGAGGTAGAAGCGCCGGTTAATATTTCTTTTAAATTACAACAGTTTCCCTTTGACGGTAAAATATGTTTTGTCGACAAATGTAGATAGACTTATGTTGTTCTTTCAAATATGCATACATAAGTACAAAGGATGTGCACAAATTAAGAAAAAAAAAATACAAATCATGTACAACGTACACACATATGTATGTATAAAGAAAATGAAGAAAATAATAAAACTCCACCAAATTAACTTAACCGAAATAAAAAAATGCCTCTAAATGCGTGTTAAAACTAATGAAAAAACCAGTGCAACAGATTTGACACCGCTATTAGCCGTAGAAAGTGTATCCAATGTGTTACTTGCACCTATACACCTGTACTGAATTCAATTAGCCAGTGCCAAGTGTTCACAACCAATTAGAACCTCATAACAACTCACACATGGTTCGGAATTAATTGGAAACGGAAAATTATGTTCAAAATATTTAGCCGTGTGCTTTCAATAATTAATTGGTTATCAAACGAGGACAAAATACGTTAGAAAAAATTTTTAAACTGGCCAGAGTTATCGTGTCTTTGTTTACTTATCAGATCTTTTGAATAATTTTCGAAAATATACAAGTGTTTACAGCACATTAAAAAATTTACGAAGTATAAATAATTAATACAAGCATACATATGTTGACTTAGTTTGTCGCACCCTATGGATAATTGTGCAGTAAAGAAGAATATTAGTTTAGAAATTACCTCTTGGTAAACATATTCACAGAGAAAGAAGAAACGACAAGATATGCACTTGCTGAAAAAATGTTAAATCTAGCTACTTGCCACGATATTGAGCCAGAGCTCCCTGCTTTGACTATTTGGATTATGCTCTTGTGGCTTGGGGTATATCCAGAAAATTCGCCTTGCTTGTATGGTGTTATCCAAAAATGGTTGGTCCATTCTAATACCGCTGTCGACCGCTGTGGCTGAGTGGTTAGAGGTGCGTACTACTACTCCGCAAGACTTTGGTTCGATCCCTGATCCGAGCAACATCTAAATTAGAAATAGTTTTCTTTTTTTAACAGTGGTCGCCACTGGCAGGCAATGGCACACCTCCGAGTGTCTTTCTGCCATGAAAAAGGTTCTCTTAAAATCCAGTTGTCATTAGGAGGAGACGTTAAACTGTAGGCCTCTCTATTTGTGGTATAATATCAAGACGCACCACACAAACTGGAGGAGAAGGTCGGCCAAACACTTAGCAAAAGTGTAAGCGCCAAAATAGTATATCTAAGTATATATAAAAAGGCAAGCATGAACCAATTGGGAACAATTTTCTCCTATGTTTCCTAACCGATTCTAATGGTTGTTGTTTTGTTATAAAGTTGTTTGGTAGGAGGAGTGCACAGAGTTTCAACTTTTCCGATAGGTGGCGCAGGGGTCGGTCTATGCTTAAAAATCGCATTTATGGTCTGATTTTCTTCAAACATATATATATTTGGTACATAAGGAGAAATAAACGTGCCAAAAATGGACCCGATAGGTGCCTCCAAAGTCGAGTTATGGCAAATTCAGTTCCATGCAATATTTTCTCATATATCTAACACATTAATACGCAAACATGATTTTGTGGTACACGTTTGAGGTACATACTTAATCCCAATTGATTTAAAAGAAACTCATATCAAATGAAATATGAGGCCTTAAATTACTTTTTAACCCTCTAAGGGCTACTTTGACCGAAATATTAAAAAAAAAACTATTTAAAGTCGTTGATTGGTACAAGTTCAACCCGAATATCAGTTAGCGAAACAACTTGATTTTTGTGGTACACTTTTGATTCCGAATGTAGTCCTCTAAGAGCCAATTTAACCGAAATATTAAAAAAAAAACTATTTAAAGTCCTGATTGGTACAAGTTCAACCCGAATATCAGTTAGAGAAGCAACTTGCCATCTTTATATATGATTACGCAATCGAATTCCCATACAAATCTAATTCTCCCTTCTGTTCCTATGAATTATGAAATTATTTAACCGAAGGTATATAACCCCACCTAACAATATTAGTGACCACTGGGCGATACTAGTAATTATTATTATTCTAATACCGCTCGGAAAGACCAGCGTTTGATTCCTGGTTCGATCTACATATATCCAAATAAGAGAAACATTTTTTTTTAATGGCGATCTGCGTGCAGTTCTTAGTCTTTATGAGTTTGGTTTCTATCTTCTTAGGCGATAACGAACTAGTCGGAAATATAAGGATAACAGCAATATTTTTTGCTTGAATATACCGTTACTCCGCCCCCTCGTGCCTCAAATTTAGAATGAGGCTTTGTAATAACAAAAATGCTTGTAAATGGAAGACATTTGACATTGG